ATATTTCATTTAAGTTCATTTTCTTAGCAGCAGCCTGAGGTTAGTAATAAGTCCCGGTATGCTAACTTAGAGCTGTGGATTCATTTTCCTGTTAATTGCAGCAATAGGTTCTTCGTTAATGGTTTTAAGATAATGCTGGGGTTTGCCATATGGTTGGATTTGTGTGAGGGTTTCTCATGAAAAGCTAGAGAGTATAAGAAATTGTTGCTATATTTAACTTCAGTGTCCTCACATGCAGGATTGTCCTCACAGCAGACAACTGGAATGGACACTCTTCTAGTATTTGCAACTTCAAATGATGCTTAATATTTACTGCAGGTATTGTTTAAGATGACTACAGGGACTTTAAACAAGACAACATATGGACATAGCAGAGGACTGATAATGCAATGCTGAGCTTTTCATCTCTAGGTCATTGGTTCAAATCTAAACTGGTCAGTAATGAAGGCAAGCTATTTGACAGCTCCGGCCTTTGCAAATTGATTTGTCAGGCTCAGTCAAGTTCCCACTAAACTCAAAATTCAGCATTACAACTTGAGTTCCTGAAAACAACTTCATCCCAACAAAGTTACAAACAAATTGAACAGAGACAGAAGTAATCTCTTCCTCCTAGGGCACCATCTCCTGACCAGGACATACAGGGAGTGCCAGAGGAACAGTGAAAATTACACCACCAGTGGTACAGCACATCATTCTGTGGATAAAGATTACTTCTGCCTCACAGGTACTCAGTCATAGTTACCTGTATATCAGGACAAATCTTTCAGGTTTTTATTACTAAAGAACACAAGAAAGAAGAGACACCAATTCGCAGATTTTAAAACTTAAATTTCACAGTGCTGCTTAATGCTTTCTTTGGATATCTTGTTCAAAGACACATTTCATAAGGCCAAAGGTTTTGAAGAAAATGGTCACAGTGCTTTATAAGAGTAACAATAAATGTAACATCCATTTTGTTACGAGGTATTTGTAACCAAAATGTTGCTGCTACAAGTGGTGTTTAAACAATTCCTGCAGATAAGTTGAATTCAGAAATATATTTATATATATTCAGAATATATTTACAAGTTACTGTGAATGATACTAGAGAAGTCATGTTCTTTCATATAAATATGTTAGACATACATACAGGTATGTATGTACAGGTTAGTCATAACAGCACATAACTTTCCACATGCTTTCAGAATTTGAACAAAAATGGTTTTAAGCCTCAAAACCATAAGTATAGCCTCTTCCTCTGTCTCTTAATAGTTCGCACAGCAAACACTCTGCAGGTATCATAGTTCTCCATTTTACCAACTGCTAACAGCTGCAGAAGTGAATACAGACACCAAGTTTTAATACAGCACCTTTAAGATCACCTTTACTTCACATATTTAGGGCACAATAAAATCTAATGGAAGTTTTACGCTCTATGAACAGAAAACATTACTTCTAACAAGACTACAACAGAATACATACAGCTCTTAAGATCTTGAAAAATGTGTTCAAAATAACAAGTAAGAGCCTGCTGCCTTCTTTGCAGGTTCCTTGGGTTTTACTAAGATGTTGACAACATAGTGAAAATTTACCTTCCCGTCCCAACAACTTGAGAAATAGAACACTTACTGTAACTTTAGGAAAGCCACAACAGGTTAACTTCCCATGACTGCATGCAGTTTCAGCAAGCTGAATGATTGAGCTGGCATGGAGTCTATTGCTATAAAATCAGAGGAGCATAGCCAAGTGATACCCTAGTTTGGCCAAACACTAGTCCTGTGTCCCATACACAACAGCTGATGAGATCCAGACAAACCTTTCAACTTGCTCAGGTCACAGAACAGAAAACTCCATGCATCAAGTAACATAACAGAGAGAAAACAAGAAATAAACTCCACACTAAATTTGAATATCAAGAGACATGATGAGAGACCTATATATTATGTCACTTGCCTTAGGAAGTGTCCAGGCTACAGCTAGGACATGGTTCCTCCTAGCAGTCTCACACTAGGGTGCAAGCTTAAGCAAGGGTGGTTGCCTACACATGAAGTCAAAATCTTAAAGACTGCCTATTACCTGACTTGTAGCGAACAAGAACAAAACAATAGAGATCCATGTAAGACAATCAGAACTCCTTGACAGTCAGTAACAAGACTTACTGCTGCTCCTCTCATCAATACTTGATGTGCCATCAAACACTGCATATCTGCACTAGGGAATGACTTTCAGCGACAGAAATGCACAATAACTTTGGAACAGTAACTGCAGCCATTATTGACAGAAAAGAAATAAATGAAAAGGCAAAGTTTAGACAAAGGCAAGAAGTAGAGTATTTCAGAGAACAAATTGAAATAAAATGTTTGAATAAATGTGGGTGGACCATGTTAGGAAACTGAAGGATGTGTAAGGGATTTAAATTTCAGAAGGTTGCATGAGAAAAAGAAAAAGACTAATACATTTTACAGGTGCCAATAAGTACATTTATTATACAACTTACAATTTATTGGTTTTGAACAGTAGGATAAGCAGATTTAAGTAGGGAATAGCTGTTACTTTCTATTATTCTTTCATCCTGCTACCTCAGTTTCCTTTTTGTACTAGCTGCTGTATTTTGCACAGTTGCACCAAAAGTTATTCAGGACAGCCACACCTGTTCTTTAAATAAATATGTTTACATAGCATTCAAACATCATTGAGGCCAAATTTTGATTAGTGTGGACAGAACCTACTGTAACTACAATAATGTGATACCTAAGAGATCTGCCACTATTACGTCTAGGTAACAAGGTTTTTGAAGCCTCACAAACTGAAAATAAACACACTTTCTCATCTATAGACTCTCCATGAAAATTCGCATAAGAAAGCTCAATACCTAATAGCATCAGCAGGACTGGATAAAGATAGATTTAAATTCCCTTTATCCTTTTTAATGAATTCATGACTACAGTCTCAGATTATTAACCAGAACAGATAGAAGAACTGACATAATTTTTACCTGCAGTGACTGAAAGAAATGAACTGAAATACTTTTACAGCTGTCACTAGCATAAAGAAAGGAATATTTCTAAATTCTCTTGGATAACTCTAAGTAACTTTGCCTGTTCTAGACAAATCAAGCATACCCATACCCTTCACACCACCCCAATAACACTGTGCAAAAGGCTTTGTGGCTGGCATCACACAGATGAGGGGAAAAAAAAGAAAAGAAAAAAGGCTCCTATTTAATTCAGTCTGAATGATGTGCGGCATGCTTGATTAGATATATTCTGATCAGGTACTGGAATAGAATTTAAAGAGTATCCTGTCTAGTGAAATGATCATTATTTCTATCACTTCCTAAATGAGAACAGATTTCAACAGCCTCATTCCATTTTTTTTAATTTTTTATTTTTTTTTTAGCCCATAATACGCTTTTGGTAATTATTTTTAAAGCTGTCACGTTCAAGTTATGTATTACTTTACCAGTTTAGTTCTCAGCATAGCAGCACCTTCTCTCCCCCTGGAAACAAACGCAAGACTATCTATGTTGCTATTGTCACAACTGCTATCATTTTCCAAAGGAGCTGTTCAATATCAAGTATACTGCAGCACAGAGCCTTTCAGATGTAGATTTTCTTTTTCAAGTCTGAAGAGTAGCCATGCTTAGAGAGGTTTGTCTTCGGTACATACTTCTTTCTTTCAGACCATGAGAAATTACAAAACTATTTTTCATCCCATTTCACATGCATTTTTTTTTCCACGAGTATAACACTCAGAATTTGCTCTGAAATCTGAAAAGCTCTTTTCATTCTTTCCACATGCGCAATCAGCGACTACAATACACACAACTCCGAACTGAAAGACCAGAAACCCAGTATGTCTGCAACTTTTTGAAAGCAGGTGTATATTGTTATGGTTTCTATTTAGGGCTGTAATCCTCACAAATCCTCACTCATAATCCTCCTACTGAATAAACGGTTTCAAGCAAAATCAGATCCTGGAAAAGCAAACAGCTTCTGCACATGCTTTTGCCTACTCTGGACCAACATAGTAAATGTAATACTGTCACTGACAAGTTTCTTCTAACCAAGAACCAGCTTTTATATATTCAAGTTTAACTTTTAATGGCAAGTTGATCTTGTCTGAGTTATTAACGAACATAATGCAACGTCAGTGATATTAATTTCAAAGACCCTGCTGATAGAAAACCCTTCTTGCCTCCAGCGTTCTCTTTCTCGTAGATGCTACTACTTTGCTCGCCTAAGGTGACCAGCTGCAGGCAGAGGGGGCCTTCCCCTCGCAATTACCTCGGCGGTCAGGCCCTAGGCTGAGCCCCACCACAGAACCCGCTGACCGCAGCCTGCCCCGCCACATGCAGAGGCCAGGCCGTGCAGGCTTACGTGGCTGCACTGCCCTACACAGGCGGGAGAGCCACTACTGAGACTGAGGCACGTGGCACAAGCAACCAGTTAACGGCTGGGTCTGCTTTATTGTTTTTTCCCGGGATGCCGGGACAGGAGGAAAGAAATGAAAGCGGTGGATCCCGGGCTCCCGCCGCGCCCCACAGGGAGCTGGCCGCTGCCGACACGGCTGTACAAACTGCGCCTCCAACCCCTCACCCAGCCCACCGTGCCGCTGAGAGGAGCGACCCCTCCCGTCCCGCCGCCGGAGCCGCGACCCGCTGCCACCCACCGCCGCGAAAGTCCGTACGGCGACAGTCAGTACAGCCCTAGACAGGCACAACAGGACCCAGAAGATGAGGAGAACCCCAACTCCTCACCAGGGCGACAGTGCCGTGAGTCCCTACCTGACAGTGCCAGTTCATGCCGCAACACCAAACATCCCTCCCCCTCAGCCAGCCTCATCCCCCGCTGCTATAGCTACGGGGAGCCGCGGCAACCACCTCTCGCGAGAGGAGCCATCTTCCCGCGAGAGCCTGCGGCAGGGGGTGCCTTCTCTCGCGAGAGGGCCGAAGATGCTCAGGCCAGGTTGGTGGAGCTGGGACTAGTCTCTGTCTTTTGTTGCCGTTTCTCGTTCCTTCAGCGCAGGGCAGGCCTGCACCGAGTCGAGGCGCTTCGGAGGGCAGGTGGCCTGACCCGATGTCCCGGGCCAGAAGGGGCGAGAGGTCCCCCCCTGTGTTTAACTCTCGCTGGGAGGTAGGCAGTAGAGCTGTTCCCAGACCAGGCTGGAAGCCAGGAGGTAGCTAGAGATCATTTCAGGTGTGTGGAGGGCTGACAGAGTCCCGGTGAACCACTTTCCTGTGAGGACGTGGCGGGCGCTCGGCGCTCTGCGAGGCTGGTTTCTCCCGAAGCAGCTACCCGCAAATTGAGCGCCTTAAGCCGATGCAGCAGAGCTTGTTCGATGGAACTGCCTGGATAGAAATAATCTTTCTTGCCAGAAAAGAAATAGGTGAGTTTGCAGAGTGTGTGTAATTGCACAATTGCGAAGTGGGATATGAGTGGAGTCCAACATACTAATGTCCAGCAAAAGTTCACTTGTAGTTCGTGTGGGAGCTGGTTTTTTTCACAGGTTAGAGCAGTGTAACATGTTCAACATGATCTGTCCAAGTACTTCAGGTGTCAATTACATCGTCTCAGGATCTGGGAAAATTTGAGTAAGATCTTTTACAAATTTGCATTTTGATTTTCAGAATCCTAGACAATATGTAAAATATTAAGCTCACATTCCCTGAACTGCACCAGCTGCACATTGCAGTGTGTGATTTTCCTGTCACTAGTGCAGAGTGCTGGTAGTAACATTGTCTCTGGTGCAGTAGTATTTTTGGTGATACCCAAGAAACATTTTAAGCCTGCTGAAATAAATGGGTCCTTTCCTATGAATTCAGGATCATGCATATAAAAGAGAGTATGGCACTTTATTTTCTCCTGTTTTATTGTCCTGTTGCAGAGCAGTTGCTCTTTGTTTTCGTAGGTTATTGCACAGTTATCTCGGGGATTGCTCCAGTACCTGACCCACAGCCAGTGGCCCGCGGACCACTTGAGTTTCTGTAGAATATCTTTGTTGGCAAGTGACTGGCTGAGGGAGATCTGTGCCTTTTTTTCAAAGGGAGATTAAGAAAAGGCAAGGCGAGGTAGGGCCGGGTGGGGCAAGAGGAGGCAGGGCGGGACAAGGCAGAGCGGGGCAAAGCAAGCCCGGGAGGAGTGCGGCAGGGCGGGGCAAAGCAAGGCTGTATGGGGCGGGCCAAGGCAGGGTGGGGCAAAGCAGGGCGGGGTAAGGCTGGATGGGGCAAAGCAAGGCAGGGTGGGGCAGGGCGGGGCAAAGCAGGCGGGGCGGGGTAGGGCAAGGCAGGGCGGGGTAAGGTGGGGGGGGGGACAAGTAAGGCAAGGCAGCTGAAGGGTGGGCGGGGCAGGCCGGGTGATGCGGGGCAAAGCAAGACGGGGCGGGAGAAGACAAGATGGCGGGGCAAGGCAAGGCAGAGTGAGGCGGGGAGGGCGGGGCAAGGCGAGCTGGGCCAAGGCGGGGCGGGGCGAGGCGGGGCGGGGCGAGGCGAGGCGAGGCGGGGCGAGGCGAGGCGGGGCGAGGCGAGGCGGGGCGGGGCGGGGCGGGGCAGAGTGGTGCAAGGCGCAATGGGCAAGGCAGGCTAAGGCAAAGCAAGGCGGGCGGGCAAATCCAGGCGGTGCGAGGCAGGGCGGGGCAAGGCAGGGTCTATGTTCAGTTCTGGGCCCTCACTACAAGAGAGGCATTGAGGCCCTAGAGTGGGTCCAGAAAAGGGCGATGGAGCTAGTGAAGGGCTTGGAGCACAAGTCTGGTGAGGAATGGCTGAGGGTTTGGGGAGGTTTAATCCCTAGAAAGGAAGGCTTGGGGGACCTTGTTGCTCTCTACAACTGCCAGAAAGGAGCGTGGAGCCAGGAGGTGTCTGGTCTCTGATCCCAAGTAAGAAGCGATAGAACGAGGTAATGGCTGCAAGCTACACCTGGGTAGGTTTACACTGGAGATTAGGAACAATTTCATCACAGAGGGGTGATGAGGCCTTGGAACAGGCTGCTTTGGGCAGTGGTGGAGTCATCGTCCCTGAAAGTGTTCACAAACTGTGTAGCTGAGGCCCTTAGTGGTTTAGTGGTGGACTTGACAGTCCTGGGATAAAGGTTGGACTTGATGATCTTAAAGGTCTTTTCAAACCTAGTTGATTCTATGATTCAATGAAGATGACTGTGGGGACTGCCATTTCCATGAGCAGTTGATATCTCAGTGCTAGTACCCTGGCTAAACAGTGTAATTACAATGTAAATAGTTACTCAAACCGAAACACAAAGATATGAGGGGTAAACCTCTTTATTTTCTGCCCCTGTATTTCAGTGTTCCTGAAATCTGAGAGACATGCTCTTTGTAACAATCCTTAGAGGACTGCTGCCAGCTCTGTAAGTTGTAGAGGAAGGGTTTTTTGGTTGGTTCCCTTCCCCCCCCCCCCCCCCAGTCATTGAGCCCCATTTTTACATAGGAAAAGCATAGTGTTCTGTATCTAAAAGATGTGTTTCTGTATGTCAGAATTAAGAGCTTATGATAATTCAGGTATGCCGTCAGTGGTATACCGGATGATTGGAGAATGCTTAGAGGACTGGGGCTCCCTTTATGTCTGTGCAAACACTCAAAGCGTACTGTTTGCATATACAGGTATCTGCAGGACCATTTGTGCTGTTAATGTGGCATTTCTACCACCACTGAAATAATTAAAAAAAGAAATTTGTGCATTTGGAATAATGGTTGTTTACTTGTGACTTTCCGTCCTGTTTCAGTCTTTTGCTTTGGGAATCAAGCCAGTCATACTGGGAGAGCGCAAGCAAATGAGAAAGGCCTCAAGCCTTTCTTAGGGACCAAAGATAATGAAGAGAAACATTTAGAGATAGTAGATATAATGAAACCCTGAATCCATGCTAGCTTCAAGCCCATTAAAGTATGGTGGGTTTTATAATAGAATATGGAAGTAATTACTCCTCAGAGTACTGTGGAGTTTGACTAAAGCGCCCTTCAATGTAATTGAATTTGTGGAGCATCTGTGAGCAGGAGAGGTCCTGTGCGATAAGACCCATAGGTTATCCTTAGGCTGGCCAGCAGAAAGTTTCTCATTTGTTTGTGCATTCTCTGGGGGCCACTTTATTTTCCCTGCAGTAAATGATGTATAATGAGATTGTTACTGAAGGCAGGAACTTCCCCCAGTAAAAAGGGGAAATCTGTGGAATCCTTATTTACCCTTTTGTGCACAAGGATGTTTTGGAGCACAAATAAAGCATTGATTCATGGGTAGCCTTTTTTTCCTGCTGTTAGTGTCCTCCTTGTATGCATTTTTTATTTCTAGCTACAAATGCAGGAACCTGAAATAAAACAGTGGTGCTGCCCTGGGAAGAGTTGACACCTTTGTCAGACTCTCGTAGTATGGTGGTACCTTCCCTGTCCAAATTTCCCCCACATAAGTTTTCCGAGTAAGCCTTGTTAGAAGAACAAAGAATAACTATTTTGGTTTGGCACTGAAAGAAGAACTTGGAATCATAAATCAGTCTCGTCTTATATATGCATTTATCTGGTCATTGTGGATTTTTTAAAGGCAAATGTTCATTGCAACTCTGTCTAGAGCTATGCCTATAACTTCTTCCTGTTCTTTAAAGTGTAGTGGTTCCTATCTGCAGATTTATTTCTGTCAGTTCTTCCTGAAAGTCCATCAGATGGAATTTTCTTTAAATGAAAACCAGACTTCTAAAATTAAAATTCTTTATTCTTAAAATTTATTATTATATTTATTATATATTTATATTTTATATTTATGTATAATATTCATATAATATATAATATAATGAATCTATTATTTATTATAAATTTTAATTCTAAAATTAATTTTCTTTAAAATTAAAAATATTTTGTGGCTTTTTATTGTTAATCAAAAGGTCAAAACTAGCAAACAAAAAAGAGTCTGCAGGTTTCCTTCAAGAAAGTTGGAAAGTGTACATTAAAAGTTTTGATATAAATAGTATTTCTAAAAAGTGTAATTGAAATTAAATTAAGAGTTTATATTTTGAGAATTTGGTTATCAAGCTGACTGGAGTTTAAGTTGCATTTAAAAGCATTGCTTCAGAGTGGTTTATGTAGTTCTCTTCCCTTTACTCCATGTGTTAACACAGTATATATCTGAGCAAGTTCTTGCACTCATTAAAGCATCATGTAAGCTGTAATGCAAGCAGAAGATGATTATCTGAGAGAAGATGGCACTTACTGTGTGTTAAATACACAGAGAGCAAGAGGTATAGCATAAAGGCATGGCTAATTAATTAATTACCTTAGCTGAAGAGACTTCTACTGGTAGGTATATGATGCCATGAATATAATTAATAGTGTCTCAAATTCCATATACTCAGCAGTTCATGAAAGTTGTAGGGTTCCACAAAATGTGTGCAAACTTGCTTCTGTGTGTGTCTGCAAATTCTGCTTAATTATCTGTGGTCCTGGTCAGGCACATCTCCCAGACAGTATAGGCAACTTGTCTAAACTAGTTTATAACCTGCAGTTTGAGGCTGTGGGCATAGATGAGGTTGCATATAAATGTATTAATGTGCTGTGAGCCAGTAGGCTGGCTTGCAAACTTTTCTAATACTCGTTTAAGAGAAATTAGCATACGTGCTGCTGATGAACAGTGGTGGACCTTGTAAGTTGCCAGAGAAGTGCTAACAGCAGCTTGTTCTGCCAGAGGGCAGTCATTTGGAAGTGGGGTGTTTGCCAGATGATCATACCTGTGGCAGTCTTCTATGGAAGAGAACATATACTTGCAGACAAGCTAGGCAGGAAAATAACCTCAGTGCAATGAATGTCAAGCCTTGTGCAACAAATCAGCACTTCTCATGGAGGGACAGCTGCATGCAGACCTCTTTGCTCCATAACAGAACAGTTGTGTTCATGCTCTTGGCGGTCTGGTGCCTGCCATCTTGTATAAGAGAAGTAAATGCATTTTATATATTCACAGTGCGATTTTTAAAAAGTCAAACAAGATAAAGCCTGTATTCTCCCAACAGCCTGATACTGTTCCACATTTTATTTCAGAGACCCACTAAGCCTAATGGCAAAACCATCTTCTTTAAATGCTCTGTCAATAATAACATAAAATGTAATTCCCACATGTTAGTTGTATGAATTATATCCTCATCATCACTAATGGAAAGCTGTTCACATGAGAGGCAATTACGAGATGCAAACCCTTTGATTAGGGAATGTATTCAAGTCAAATGGAAGATTTTCTGTGCTATACCAAGAGGCGTATAAAGTGTGCTACTACCTGCCAAATATTTATGCCATCAGCTGTAACTTCAGGCAAGATTTTAAAACATACAGTTCCATATTTATGGATAGTATTGCTGAGATTTTGTTGAACAACTTTCTTTTACGTTAAAATGCAGGCACTATTTTTTATGCATTTTCAGTGTAGCTTATATTCTGTATCATACAAGTTGCCTTATGAGGCAAACATTTCCAAGCTGGGAAACTGTAAAATAATATTCCTAAAAGTAACATTGTTAAATGTAAGAACTTTTTGTTCTGAATGAAAGATCTCAATGTCACAAAATTCTGTCCAGTCTGTTTTTTATGGGCATTCCATCTCTGTTAAATGGATTTTTGGCTCCTGTTTCATGGAGTGTAAGCTTAATATCCAGTACATCCTCCGTGAGGGAACTGTAGCCTGCCTTTACAAGAGGATGAGCTTAATAATTTGTTAGTTCTTTTTTATCTGTAACTATGATGATCCTGCTTAGAAGCAGATGACTGAGTTTCCATTCCGTAGCGCCTAGTATGTGGGGAAATCCACTGTAATTAAATCTTATAAAATCCTCTTACTCCCAGTATAAATAATTCTCTGACACAGGCAATTCCCCTGAGTCTACATCACAGCCCTAGGAAAGCAAAGAGCAAGAACAGTTACTTACTTCCTTTTAAATATTTGATCATTTTGGACAAACTTCTACTCTGATTACAGTGGCTGCAAGCCTTACTGAAATTAATTATTTTTGAGGCAGAATCTGCATTACTGATTTTTCTCACATTTAACATTACTTTGAACGATGACTAAACTAGCATGCATCTTAAGATATGTAAACATCAAGACAATAGTCTGAATTGTTCTACAACATGTAGTGTTCTTTCTTGTTTTGTACTAGAAACAAAACCACATAAATCCTGCTTGACAGGATTTGAGACTGAAAGTGTGCTGGCAAAAGATCTATATGCCTTGTTAAGTAAATTTACCAAAACCAAAGGATCCTCTTAGCTTATAAGTATGAATTATAGCAATATCATTAATAATTTGCAGAGATACAATTCTAATCCCAAGCGCATTGCAACTTTTTATCCCCATTTAGGGTTTGTGATAATGGAGTGCACAGGTGAAAGCTCTCGTCCAGCAGTACATTATGAGGCACAGAGAGCTTTGAGTCCCAGTCCTTTGACCTACTTGCTGGATGATGCTGCCTTCCTTATATGCAAGAGCTTTGAAACTACACCACCACAGAGCACTGTGCTATCTTCTCTACAGCATTTCCTACCTATGTTTAAAGACCTATTTTATTTGGTCTTTCATTTAGACTCTTCTCTTTTGGGTGGACCTGGGACCTGTGCTTGAGCTAGCTTGTCTGATAGATGGACTTTGGACCAACAGTGTAGTTTGTATCCAGCCCTATTTCCTCTAGCTCCTGATCAGATTCTCTGGATGATCCCTGTGCCTGATTCGTCTCCCACCATGTCTGGGATGACTGATGGACCTTGTCATAAGCACGCAGCTCTGCCTGCCATGTTCAGATGTTGTGGGGTTGTGTGCTGGTTGGTGAGGGCACTGCCTGTGCTGGGCTTGCCTGGGGCTCACCCCTCCTTGGAGCAGCTAGCCCTCTGCACTTTGACATGTCTAACTGGCCCGTGATCTGGAACACCTGCTGTTGAAAACAGACCATGACATCCAGGTATCAAACTGTCTTGTTTCTGCTGCTCCTGACATATTTACAATGAAAACACCATGTATTTCACTTTAAGAAAATAATGTAATTCTGTGTTGTTAGAGTCTAAAATCTGTGTCAGAAAAGGCAAAGCCATAAATGGCATATTTGGTGGGAAAATATTTTGCATAGTGTTGCCTAGTTTTCTCTGAGATTTCCTTTGTCTTTCTGAACTTCTGGCATTCTCTTCATAGCCTGGGTTCTTGTAATATAGTAGAATACTTTTCAAACTGGAAAAGAAATCTCCTCCCCCTTAATTACACTGCAGCTGAAAAAGCTAGATTGATTAATAATGTTGAAAAACCCACAGCATCCTTATCTGCAGACAGAGCTCAAATATAGAATAAACTAATAGTTTAGTAGAATATGAGAATTTCCCATTTAGATGTCTTTCACCAGTGAAATTTTCATGTATTTATGTAGGCATTAAAAAAGGAAATCAGTGTGGGAAATATGTTTTCAGCTAATTCTTGGATCCATTTTATCCGAAGATTTTATCCAAAGATACAAACCAAGTTTTTCTGAGAATTTGTTTTCAAATGAAACTTCAAATACTTTGTAAGAACATGTCAAAAAACCCAACCTTTTTATTTTTGTTGAAATGTTTTTCAGAAGATCAATTTAGCAAGTTTTAGATTTAGTTACAAAACTGAGTTATGGATACTTCTTAATCATTTAATAAGACATATAATAAATGTTCTATAGCCATTTCAGCAAAAAGGTTGGGAAATTACTCATACATCACTTCTGCAGTTTATTGTTAGCACATCTTTTAAGAGATCTCAGGGTAGCCCTGGCAGTAGCCTTTTAGACGAGTGTAACAAAGACAAGCCCATAACTATCCAAACAGAATAAAAATCAAATATATGGTTGGGGTTTCTAGACAAGGAGGAAAATTTCCTAAATTAAAAGTACTTCCATGGAAGCTGTCCCTCTAAATAAGCTGTTTATCCCTATTTATAAGAGGAATTGTTGATCTAAAGAAGGCACGAGGACAGAGAATTCCAAACCGGTCTCCATGCAGGCTGAGGTAGGGTATGGTAATGAAACAGCAGTCTCATGTGTTATGTATGTGTCAGAATTCAAATCTTCATGAAACAGAAGGTATTTAATGTAGAAAAATAAACTTCTTTATTGGTTTTCCACAGTGCCCGCCTTTCTTCCTATATGTGTTGCATCGATAAAGCTGTTACAAGAAGTGGAGTAGACTCTTCTGTGTACTTTGATAAGTAATGCACTGTGGCAGGTGTCAAATTATTTCTGTTATAACTAAAGCTTTTATTTTCTTGCTCTGTAACTATGGGTAAGTCATCTCACTTGGGTGTGCCTCTTCTTTCCCAACCTATTGCCTTCTTGGCTCCTCTGTGTCAAAAACAAAACAAAAAAAAAAACCCTGCTTAAGCTATCACCTGTTTTATACCTTGGAGAACTGGGAACTTTAGGTGACAGTGAAGTACTTTAATCTGTCTATTACAGTGACAGGCCTGACTTGCTATTTTACCTCTGATATTGTTAATACCTCTGATGTTGTTAAGATTACCTGTATCGTTTCCTCTCAAAGTCATCATTCTCCACTGTCAGTTTTGCAGTATTTATCCAAGCCATCTGGATGTATACGTATATTATGAGCATCCCCATCAGTCCTCGCTCTTTCTTCACGTACTAACACTCTAGCTATAAGATTGAAACTTTTATTATTGCTATTCCCCAAATTGATTCAGCTGCGTTTTTTAACAAGAAAACACAAAGGCTTTTTTATCTCGTGGTGTTTTATTACTTGTTACGGTATGACAAAACAGATTCATGATGGAGCAGACAGGCAGCATTTAGCAGAAAAACACTTCCTAGTTTTGCCTTTTTATGCCCTGGTGAATAAAAAGCTTCTTTCCCTCAAACTGTTTCTGATGGATTAACTCCCGGTGGAGATAAGTTTAGAACCTGCTAGGATCTTGTCTGGCCTAAGGGGAAATGAAAGGAAAGGCTGACGGAACTAGAGTCGCACTCTTCAGCTCCTTCCTATCAACTTACAAATAGAAAGGGCTGAGGAAGGTCTTGACAGTAGGGGTTTACAGCTCTTCTGTTTCACCACTCCTTGGCACATTGATTTCAGTATGATACTCAGAGGAGTCTCCTGAAGGCATCCATGGTATAGGGGTTCTGTTGAAGGAGGGTCTGCTGCTGAAATTTTGATTATATATCATGAGAGATTCTGGAAGCAAAGGGCAAATATCAAACTGAGGCACTTTGAAGGTCATCCGTTTGGCTGCTTTCTCAAAACCCCCATAAGGCATGGCAGTCCTGGCATGGGAAATACATGGAGTTAGTGAACACAGCATAAGTAAATGACAGGATTTAGAAAATAAACAGTCAGCATTATGGAGATTGTAAATCTTACTGCTGTTGCAGTTGACTAGCCACAAATCCTTCCTGAGAACATATATGCATCCATTGCTTATGTACTAAAAAACCAAACCACCACGTCTCTGCTCCTGTGTACTTCCTTCACTCCTGTTGCATCAGTCTCTATTAAGCCATACACTTTTCATACCTGATGGTACCCCATACATATAGGAGGCAGAGGCTGCATTATTGCAGAAATGAGTGGGATTTGTGTTTGTCTTTGGTATTGATGTCCTGAGGCTATGGAAGTGGGTAGCAAAATTACATACAGAGGTTAACAGAATACTGTTGCTGCCCTAGAAATATTTGTAAAACTCTCAGTTCTTATCAGAAAGAGCAGGAAATTCTGATTCTTATCTGGAGTGCTGTGAAATATATGTTGTCTGATTGTAAGTATTTTTCTTGAACTTTAAATGGCTGCAGTAATAAACAGTGGCAAGCTAAATCTCCCTGGTCAGATGGGGTGAGAAAGGAAGGGAAATAGGATTAAAATCCTCTTATGCAGCTGTATAGGTTTTCCGTTCATAAACTTTATTAAAATCTCTAGCTTTTTATGTATCTTCTCTTTGTAGACCTCTAGATGTTTCATCCATGGAAGACTGCTAAGCAAAATGGCAGGTAGCTAAACCTTATTTACGTTGCACAAGATGGGAGGGCTATGGCCAGGGTTATTGTGTTTTCTCATGCTAAATAAACCAACCTGAATAACCAAGAAGACTTACCGGTTAAAAGACTTGTAATGGGGGAAATCAGCTTTGGGACTGTATGACAGTAAGTCAATGGTGAACTGACTTTTGTCCTCTGGGCTGATACCCATTGCTCGTTCCCAGGGAGAGATATAAGTTTTAAATACAGTGATTTTTTTGCCTCCTGACTTTCCATCTGTAAACAGAGGAAGGTAATACACTCCTGTTAGATGATGCTCAAAATACCTTGCTTTTTTTGAGTTCTGCTACTGAAGTTAAGACACCAGCTTTATTTCCAGATTTTGAAACTGCTAGATCAAGTCCAAGAAGTTACGGTTAGATTTCTTGTAAAAGAGACTGGCATACACCACTTCTGATCTTATCCACGAAAGCAGGTGTGCCACTGTCTAAAAGCCACTCATCCAGGAATTTACAGTAAAGCATATATTTGAAAGCTGATTTTTCATTCTTCTCCCTGGTCACTCAAATAAAAACCTCTTACCCCAAGAACCAGTATCCCTACCCTGTCACCTCTTTCACTACCTCAGGGGAAGCTTTATACAAGGCAAAATGCTATCTAATTTCATAATTTATTTCTTTCTTCTCTGTCTGATCATAGCAGATAAAACCCCTCCAGATCAACTTTACCATCATCCTCAGATGCACCAAACAAAGCCCTGAGTATAAACTCCAAAACTAGACTCAAACTTTTCAGTTGACTCAAACTGACCAAAACCCTTTAACCATCATGTTTCAGGCTCTGTGTTGGTTTTGGCTAGAACAGAGTTAATTTTCTTCACAGCATCTAGTATGGGTCTATGTTTTGGATTTGTGCTGAAAACAGTGTTGATAATTCAGGGAAGTGTTAGTTGTTGCTGAATGGTACAGAGTCAGGGCCCTTTCTGCTTCTCACCACCCCACCAGCAAGCAAGCTGGGAGTGCATAAGAAGTTGTGAGGGAATACAACCAGGACAGCTGACCCCCCCCCCCCCGACCAGAGGGATATTCCATACCTTATGGCATCATGGTCAGCATATAAAGCTGAGGGAAGAAGAAGGAAAGGTGGGATATTGGGAGTGATGGCATTTGTCTTCTGAAGTAACCGTTACGCATGATGGAGCCCTGCTTTCCTGGGGATGACTGAACATCTGCCTGCCAATGGGAAGTGGTGTGTGAATTTATTGTTTTGCTTTGCTTGTGTGACTTTTGCTTTACCTATTAAGCTGTCTTTGTCTCAACCCATGAATTTTCTCACTTTCAGTCTTCCAATTCTCTCTCCCATCCCACCAGGTAGGGGGGGAGTCAGCATGGTGCTTAGTTGCCAGCTGGGCTTAAGCTGTAAGAGGGTCTCGGCAACTCACAACCATCCTTACCAATGCCTTCATTCATTCTTGAATGTTCTAAAATTATCATCTCCCTTGCCTCAGTACTTCTATAAATTGGCATTTTCTTTGTGATTACATGAACAGACATTCATATTTTCCCTCTCCTGAAACAGAATGTTAGAGACAAATTTGGCTCAAACACCTCAGAATGTCTAAAAGCAGTTGGAAAATACGACAGGCTCTCTCTCTGGAAGTTGAAATCCTGTCAATGACAGAGCTGCACTTTGGTGTTCAGTCACATGCTTCTGGGTGCTTCACTAAGCAAATGAGCTTAGACAAAAGTTTTCATTCTGTGTGCCTCTTTTCTTTTTCCCTCCTTTCCAATTCTGTATAATACCCCCTTGCTAATAAGAGCATTGGTTGTGTATTGATATATAGCATGCTTTTGAGATACTCATCCTTCATAAGCCTTAGAACTCCTGAGCAATAACTTCTGCTTAGCTTGATTAGGGCTGATAGGAATAATAGGTTAATGGAGTCAGGCATTCTGGTGCTTTCATGGTGCTACAGTTTGTGTTGGAAACAACCTTATGAAGTAAGTGGCGAAGAATGAGTATTACCAGTCTTAACTGAAATTTTCTTACTTACCACAGCTGCTTTCTTTGTTTTGCTTATTTTATACAAACCTTGAGAAATCCTGGGCCTTGGTTTCAGAGAATTGCAGACATGTACAACAATCTTATTTTCATTAAAAAATAAAACCAGCTATCTCCTTCTTTCTGTGTGAAGGACTGAAACGAAGTATTCTAGAAGTAAATTGATTGCTAGGTTTGAAAAATAAAGGCAGTTGGGATCCATTTCTGCAGTGAAAACTACAGGATGATATTAATCCTCCCTCTCCCTGCACATAGAAGTAGGGTAACAATGGAGAAAAATCTCCTGTAACAAGGCATATACTCTACACAGTTTTCTTTTCCACAGACATGGTCAGAAATGTAAAAGCAGATTTTGATACAAAGTGCACATGCTTCCAGAATGTAAATGAGCTACCTTGGATTTTACAAGTCACTCATTTGGTCACTTATGACAGTGATTCCTGGTTCCCAAGCAAATTTACTTTTTGTTGTAAAATCCCATAGGGACTGATAAAATAATGATTTCATCTGCTGATTCTCATACAAGACTAAATTCAATGAAAAATACTTTTACTAGTAAAGATACTGCTTCAGTAGACCAGTGGTGATTACCAGATAACTTTTACAGATACGCAGTTCCTTTCTGAAGGTTACCGAGAAAGTGCTGTTTGTTTAGATGGAAACTTTGATTTGAAATCAGGACTCATATACTCGAAACTGATGTGTCGGGTCAGACTACTGAGCAAATTGCTCCAGTGATGGTCAGTGTGAAACCCTTGAAAGGAAAGAGTATGAAATACTGGCATACTGCTCTATCAACCTTAGGAGCTCATGTAATAGTTAGGCTTTCTATAATTTTTTTTGGTCCAGCCAAGGAAGGTATTTCTGCTTCTTGCATATGATTAAGCCACACAGAAGCACGCAAACAAAACTGTCAAGCTGAGGGCAGTTCCACTTTTCTAGGTTTTGCAATGGAGCTTAGTTTGGAACAATTTGTGTTTTAGACAAATTTATCTACTTGTCCCTAGGAGTAAGGTTAGCATGAGCTCTGACAGCTTTAGCTGTTTCTTAGTCCTGCAGAGAAATACTTGCCTTTCTCAGTACCATCACCTCCTTCTCCACCACTTCCAGCTGATTCCCCAGCATGCTCCCCTTTGCTGTCCCTAGCGCCGCCTTTGCTTCCAGGCCTAGGAGGAGCACCAGGATACTGCTGCTTATTGGAGCCATGCTGTCCAGCTGTCACTCCTCCTACCATCCTCCCATGGGCATA